TTTCATAATTGTATGTTCAATTTCAGAGTCTTGATCTAAACAATCCTGTCTAAAATCCTGAATCCCATACATAGAAATTAAAGTTGAATTTTTGATTTCTGCATCAGTCTGTTTATATATTCCAAAAGAATCATATATAGTGTTGATATTATCTATATCAACACCTTTTTTATACCATCGATTTTTTAGCAAAGCTATAGTGAATTTTGCATTTTGTGTTTGTAACATTACTTGAAAAAAATGATGGCAAACCAAGCCTTCACTAATCAAAAGCAAGCATGTACAAATATGAGAATAATCTTGACATAATGCTACATAATTAATTAATTTTATATTGGTTGCCATATGTTTAACTTTCCAAATCTCTACTATATTATCAATATTAATACGATTAATAAGATAATTGAGTGCAATTTGACATTTATCGATAGCATCTTCAAGACAATCAGATGGATCAGACTTCTCAGTATTATTGCAATTAAAATATCGATCAGAAGAAACTATATTCAAAACAAATATCAATTTGAGCCTTTTGAATATGAAATACCTCATCAGTTAAAATCTCTTTCAATTTCTCTACTAAATTTGGAAAAATACGAACTGCTGATGAAGAAGTAATACTAAAAGGCAAATTAGCTAAATAATCACGATACTCAGCTTTTTGAAGTTCAGCTGCCAACAAATTCTGTATACCATTGAAGCATTCCATAAGTGTTGAATGTGAATTAACAAATTTATGAATAATAGCATTGATTGATTTCACTCGTTGAGTTGATGACATTCCAGCATTAAAATCCTAAATAAAAAAAAATTAAAGCTTAATACTTTTTAACTTTAATTCTAACCCTAACCCTAACTCTAACTCTAACCTTAATTCTAACCCTAACCCTAATTCTAACTTAATTAAAATTATGATGCTATGCTTCACGCCTATTTATTCTAAAACAAACCTTCCCATTCAAATAATATCAATTTTATATATCATACCTGAAATGTAAAACATTTAGCCCATCGATATTTAATTGGATATAAAGTAGTCCTTAAATATGAAGAAGCTTCTGGATAATTTGTATATAGCAATTCAAATCGTGATTCAAAAATGGTTTCAAACAAAGTATTTCGACAAGAAAATAAATCTGTTTGAAATTCTTTATAACGTGATCCAAGTGGTCGTGTAAGATGTTTTTTGAGATTCTGAATTATGTGAAAAATACAATGTAAATATCGTGTAGTTGGAAGAACTATTTCAATTGCTAATCCCAATCCAGTATCACAATCAGAGTAAATTGTCATTGGTTTTAGATTATTAACTGCCACCATAAAATTATTGAGAACCCATATGTATGATGTTGTTGTTTCATCAGATATCAATACTTGAGCTATTATCGTGAACGCTGATGTTTATCAATACCTACAAATAAACATAGTGATAGCCGATATTTGTTGGTCTGAGCTGTATTATCAGTCAGTATAACATCATGATGCCTTAAATAAAGAGTTTGTTGCCAAGGTGTCATCCAAAATAAATGAAATAAACGATTTTTTATACAATGATAAGATATAAACCACATTGGATCGTTTTCTTTTAGCCTTTGTAATTGTTTGAGAAGATTTGAAGCATCATTTTCAGGATCTTGTTCATTATCCATTATATTACCCTTTCGAAAACGTTGAATAGTATTGGCTAAATCTTTGTTTAAAAATAGCTGGTCTTTAAATTCACCCTGAAGAAGTTGTCTTAATGTATGTTGACTAATATTGGAGATCATATTTATATAAAATTCGATCTTATTCATAATGTTTTGAGGAAGCTGGCGATAAATATTGGCAAAGTGGATGGTATCCGGATTGAGTGTATGACCGTGATGTGTGAGATTTAATTTTGTAATAGTCAGACCAGATGATTTAAAAGGCCAACATATATTAATAAAACAAGTACAACTTGTCTTTATTGAGTTTCTATTACGTTGATTTGAAGAATTTGTGGCAGTTTTCTTTGATAAAAACTTTCCTGCGTGATGACACTCAAAAACGTATTTGTAAACTCCTCCATTTTTATCAGAATATTTATCTTGAATTCTCCACACAAAACCAGCCTGTTTGCCATATGCTAACAAAACCAAATATGCGTGGTTCTAATGATCGAATTTCATCTCAACACATAACCTAGATGCCTGATTAAAGGCAGCATCAGGTATATGAAGAACTTCAAGTGGTTTTCTTTTAGTTATTCCAGCACGAGAAGCAATTTCTCCTTATTCAAAAGAAGGTTCTATAAAAGAAGATTCTACTAAAATTTGATTAGAAAAGGGTCTAAAAAACGAAAAGTATCAATTTTGAACTAAAAACATAAAACAATTAAAAAGGATACGAATACCTTCTTGTTTGAAAAAGGATTCTTTATCAATCACTTCATTATTGAGGTCAGAATGGTCCATTTCGAACTAAAAAATTAAAAGAATGAAACAATTGGAAAGGAAACAAGAAGCAAAGAAAGTTTTTTTTAAAAAAAAAGAATGTAAAAAGAAGCTAAAGCATCAAAAGTTTGTAAGAAAAGTTTAAAAAGTTTACTGATCATTTTAACGATTTT